GGAGGGAGACCCGCAGGGAGGGAGACCCCGCAGGGAGGGAGACCCACAGGGAGGGAGACCCACATGGAGGTCCTTCGCAGGATGGGGAAGGGGGCGCTGAGGAACTGCCACCACCTCCCCAGGAAGTCTTGCTTTTGGGGGGTGGTCTTGGAAGACCTTTCTGTGGTCACAACCCATTCTCAACGTCTGAGTGTGGGGCACAAACGCCCTAAACGCCCTAAACGCCCTGGGGCTTCATGTGGAGACTTAGTCCAGGGACGGGGCGTGGGAGGGTCCGAGACAGGAGGGATGGTGCTCCGGGCTGAGACTTGGAGAGGGGGACAGAGTCCTTCCGTTAATGTCTGAGGGCCCACACCTGGGGGGGACCTTGTGGGTCCTCGCGTTGTCCCTCATGGGGAATGTTTTACTTCCTAGAGTTCTTGAGAGTTTGTGTCGGAACAATTTTCATGAAGAATCCAAACGTTCGTGGGATTTAACGTCTGCTTTTGCGCAGCTCTTCCCCACTGAGCCTCCATTACGGTGCGGGAGCCGCCGGACGTGCAGAACCTGAGCTGTTGCTACCGCCCACTCCAGGTGTTGAGGGACCCAAACCGCGGGTCCTGACTCGGGACTTCCTCGGCCCCACCCCCTGACCCGTCTGGCCACGCCCCTCACTACTATAAAATGCGCGCGCTTAGCCTCTGGGAGATCAATTTCCAGATCCCGCAGCTCCGGCACCCATTTATTCGGGACCCCAGACTCGCGCGGATAAACAGCGGGGAACTAAACCTTCCGTCGGAGCTCCTGGTTACCGGGGTGAGGGCGCCAGGGAACCGAGAGACAGGCGATAGACTGACCGGAGTTGAGAGATCTGGAGGTTGGGGTCGGGGAGGCCAGCACGGGGTGCTGTGGGGTAGGTACGGGGTGAGGATCTGGGGGCCAAGGTCTGGCTGTTGATATGGAGGGGCGATGCTAAGAACCGAGTGCGGATGGGACGAAGGCGGGACGCTCCGCCCCGACTTTAAGTTTCGTTTTCCTGCGACCCATCGGTTTTTCTGGCGTCTCCAGCCCGCCCGCGTCCTGCACTTGGCTATCCCCGTCTGGTCTCCACAGGGTCTGGCTAGCGATCACCGCCCAAGCCTGAAGGCTGGCTCTACCCCTGTGATTTCGTTACCACTCGTCCTATTGCTGGGAAATCCATACCTGGCAGCAACGTGTGTGACCACAAACTCGCAACCCACATCTTTCACCACTCCACCTGACACCTGAGACACAGCTGTGGTCACAACTCGACCACTGGTTTCACCTGCACCTGTGACCAAAGCCCCTCACGCCGACCTGTTTCGATCCCTGTCCCTGCAGAGGCAGTGATGACTTCGGCGTCTGACAGGTGAGAACGTGACGAGCTTTGGTTGCGCAACGCGCAGGCGGTCATGCGCAGCCCTGACTCCTGGCCGCTCCGCCCGCCCACAGGGGGACCCCGCGTTTGCTGTTCGCAGAGTGGCTTCTTTGCCAGGTTAGCCGCGGTAACGATGGGCTGCGGTGGCTGGATGAGGACCACACGCACTTCCGCGTCCCCTGGAAGCACTTTGGGCGTAAGGACCTGGACGAGGCCGATGCACAGATCTTCAAGGTAGGCTCCCGGGACACGGGGTGGGGGTGGGAGGCCGGTTGGGGAGGATGGCCCGGAGCCCTGTGGGCTCTGCCCGCTGGGGCCCACGCTGTCGTCCTCCTTTTCAGGCGTGGGCAGTGGCCCGTGGCAGGTGGCCGGCCAGCAGCTGTGCGGGTGCGCAGCTGACCCCAGAGGCTCAGGAGCGCGCTGGCTGGAAAACCAACTTCCGCTGCGCCCTGAACAGCACGCGGCTCTTCGTGATGGTAAAGGACAACTCCGGAGACCCCGTGGACCCGCACAAGGTCTATGCCCTCAGCTCTGCGCTGGGATCGGGAGGTGAGAGCGCCACGTGGGGAAGACTGAGGGCTGACACCGGCGAGGCAGGGAGGTCCAAGCAGGTCACAGAGAAGGCAGAGGGCAAACTGGGTCCGATCTGGTTTTAGAAATTGAATGCGAGAATCCCTCCCTCGGAGTCCTGGTGTGGGGCTATAAGATAAGCACTAGATTGCTAGCCAAAAGGTTGGCAGTTCAAACCCACCATCCACTTTAGGAACCCTATACGGGGTCCCTGAGCCCGAACTTAACGACAGGGGCTCTTTCGCCCTCCCTAAAGCGGCTCCCGTAGCTGATGGAGGATCGTGGAAGGAAAGCTGGTTGTGGGGGGGTGGGGACACATTTGAACCAGTGACCCAGAGGGCACACCTGCAGACTCACACCCAGTTCACTCTCTATGCCAGAGCCCCTCCCCCAAGGCCCAAGCAGTGACAGAAAGCAAGAGGCCCTCCCAAATGGATGGCCCATGAAGGTAAGGTACCCTCACCGACTTCACTTCTCCTGTATTGGGCACCACCTCCCTCCAAGCTGGGGGGCTTATGCTGGCCCTGTCTTCTCTGCAGCACAATCCCCCCATGCCATTCCCGGGAGAGGCTGGTGAGCAGCTCCAGCCAGTGCTACAGTGGGCAGGAGCAGCCGGGCAGAGCCCTCTTCCCACCCCAGCTGATGGCACCAGGGAACTCTTGGACCAGGCTGTGCAGCAGAGTCACCTTGGGGACCATCTTCTGGAAGCTATGTGGAGGGTGGAGCCAGCCCCCCAGCAGCCTCTTGGTGAGGGGCAGGGGTCACCACCACATTGATCCAAGGGTGGACAAGGGGGAGGGGGTACTGCCCTGCGGGATTCTTCAGGGTGATGGGGCAGGCCCAGGGGTACAGGAATCCTCAATGGGCAAAGACAGTGTCCCCACCATCTCTTTTTAGGACCAGTGCCTTGTGCCCCATCACAGCACTCCACCCCACACCAGACCCCAAAGACAGGTGACAGGTGGGAACAGTGGAGAAGAGCTGGGCTGGAGCCCCAGCTGACGGCTCATGACTACTCTTCTGCAGACACCTGCCAGATCCCAGTCCTGGAGTCCCAGTACGAGCAGCGGCCTCCCACCGAGCCCTCTCCCCTTACCTGGGGCCCACTGGCAGGTGAGCAGCCAGGGTGGGGACCGGACCCTCCCCCATCTCAGCTGCTCATTGGTTCCATCTGCGCAGAGCCCGGCCTGACCGTCTTGGAGCTGACCATCCTATACAAGGGCCGCCCGGTGCTGTACAAAGTGGTGGACCACTCCAGCTGTTTGCTCCTCTATGGCCCCCCAGGCCCCGCTGCCAAGGCCTCGAATGCCCAGCTCGTGGCCTTCCCCAGTCCCGCTGAGCTTCCAGACCAGAAGCAGCTGCTCTACACCGAGGAGTTGCTACAGCATGTGGGCCCGGGATTGCAGCTGGAGCTGCAGGCAGGCAGCCTGTGGGCACAGCGTCTGGGCAAGTGCCAGGTGTACTGGGAAGTGGGCGGCCCTCTGGGCTCCGGCAGCCCCTCCACCCCTGCCAGGCTGCTGCCTCGGAACACCAACACTCAAATTTTTGACTTTGGAGTCTTCTTCAGGGGTCAGTGGTTCAGCTGCCCTGGGGGCTGTCCCGGGAGTGCTCCCCACCTGCCTGCTCACTGGAGCCCTTGCCCCTAGAGCTGCTAGAGTTCCGGGATCGGCGGCGACAGACCTCCCCACGCTATACCATCTACCTGGCCTTCGGGCAGGACCTGTCTGCTGGGAGGCCCAAGGAGAAGAGCCTAATCCTGGTGAAGGTGAGGCTTGTGCCCTGGTGCCTGTCATGCTGTCCCAGACCCAGGTGACTGTCCCCTCTCCTCCCGCAGCTGGAGCCCTGGCTCTGCAGGGCCTACCACGAGGGGGTGCAACTCCAGGGCGCTTCCTCCCTGGACAGCGGCAGCCTGGGCCTCTGCTTGTCCAACTCCAACAGCCTCTACGACGACATCGACCGCTTTCTCATGGAGTTGGAGCAGCCTGCCTAGGCTGTACCTCAGCCCCCCAACTGAATAAAAAACAACCCAAGAGTCTGTGGTGGTGTTCTCCCTCTGCCTGAGGGCTCGGGTCTGCGCTGAGGGAAGCAGGCACACCTCAGCCACTGGCCTGCCCGCCTTTTCCTCTCAGCTTCACAATGAAGAAACTAAAGCCACAGGTTCTTTAGAGCCGACAAACTCTACTCAAACAAATCACAAAGCATTCTTGAGGCAGGAGATGACCAAGAGGAGACATGGGGTGGGGGAGGGCAGTGTCCCTGGGATGGGGGCACACACCTGCTGCTCAGCCCAGGGGCCTGCCAACGTGCTCTGTGCACGGCAGCTGTCCAATGAAAATGAATTCCAATAGTGCAACATCATAGCAACAAAGAAAATTCCTAACAAGAAACCCACGGACCCCAAGTACCTGTGGCTGCTGGCCGACTATACTGCAGGGAGTCAGGGAGCCGTCGCTCGGTTTAGCAAGACCCCCTCCCCCAAATTACCCAAGGCCCCGCCTTTGAAGTACTGAGTCAAGCAGGAAGTTTCTAAAGATAATCCATTTTTGATAAATTAGAACACAATGAAAACAGTGTATCTCTAGAATATACATAGAAAAAGTCCAGTTTAAACCGAGCAAGTGCTCAGACCACGTGATCACAGGGAACCCTGAAAACGGCAGCCGGTTCCTCCGCAGGAGCCCCAGGGAACTGCGTGCGCAGCCTCAGCCCTCCACCTCCTGGGGCGGCAGGCCCTCCTCTGGCTCCGCCTTCTTGTGTCTGCGCATGTGCCTGTACTTCTCCACATAGGCTTTCACCAAGTTGGCCACCTTCATGGGGTTGATCTCTCCGCTTTTGCTGTGGCAGATCTAGGGGAAGAGGGACCGCCACAGTCTGGTCACTGTAACCGAACCCCGGCCCTGGTGTGCACCCAACATCTCCAAGGTCCTCTCGGGTTCTGAGTCTGCACTGCATCCGCTTTTCACACCGTCCCCCTCACCCGTAACTCAGCCCGCCAGGCCCCCTCCTGCAACCTGGATTCCCGGAAGCTCTGGTCCAGACACCCAGAGCGGGCCCGGGAGCCCCTCACCTTCTGCACGGCCTTGCGCAGGATGTCCTTGTACTCCTCCTTGGTGATCTCCCTCTTCTGGTAGAAAGGCTTGATGGCCAGCTTGACCTCCTCCACAGCCCGTTCCTGCATATGCAGCTTCTTCAGGTACTAGGGAGCAAGGATGCATGAGATGGCCGGCGCTGTCTGGGACACCTTGTCAGACCTGGTCCCTCCAAACGGAGCCAGAGGCAAGGCTAGCATGGGCGGGACTCACCTCCTCAGTCTTGGCCTTCTCCCCGGCAGGCTTGGGGACAGCATTCTTGTCCTCCACATCACTGGTTGTGGGGGCTGGGACAGCTGGCTCCAAGGTTGTGGTCAGGGCTGTTGGCACAGGGGCTAGGCCCTGCGCTGCCCCTGCACAGCCTCCCAGGGGTAGACTGCCCTGCAGGAGGAACTGGCTGACGGGCTGGCTGCCCGGTGCATAGGAAGGGCCGCTCGAGGGTGGGGCCAGGGCCACAGGCAGAGCGAGGCTGTAAACCTGTCAAGAGAGCACCCGACTGAGTTCCGCGGGGGCCCAGCTCCACACTGTCCCAGGCCTCTCCAAAAGCAATCGGGTTTGGCAGCACGACAGGTGACCCACCTGAGAAGCATCGAAATCAGGGAACACTGGCTCCGGGAGGCCCTGGATGGGAGGCAGCGGCTCGGAGAAGGCAGGCACCTGACAGAATGCTGCTGTGGGGCCCGAGACTTCCATGTCCCAGGCTGGATCTCCAGGCTTCTGCGGCCATTGAAGTGGTGGTCCTGAAGCAGAGGGGATGAGCTGAGTGCTCCACTGGGACCCCTGATGACAAAGTCTGGCCAGCACAGGCCAAAGGCAGCGCCCAGGCCCACCCACAAGAAGAAATCAATTCTCAGCTTCCTCCAGAGGGAGCGCTGGGGGCCCCGTGGGCAGGGAGGCAGGACTCACCCTGCACCTGATTCTCGGTTGGGCCATTGCCCTCTTCCTCCTGAAGGTTCCAGGTGACCCTCTTCACTGAAGCCTTCGAGCGCAGCAGAGGTGTCTGGGGGGTGGCTTCCTCGGGTTTGGCTCCTTCCCCCGCCCATGGCTCTCCCTCCCTTCCAGGGAGCAGCATGCCAACAGCCCCACTCCCCCCAGCCACTTCCTGCCCAAAGACGATGCTCTCAGAGGGGCCCACTGCAGACGGTGGGGGCTGGGGCTCGTTATCATTGTGAATCAAGGACACCTCTCTATAGATGGCAGCCAGAGACTGATGCGTGTCCAAGCCTGCGCCGCCACCTTCAACGGGGAGGGGCAGGGAGGGGCGTGGCGGGGAAGGGATGGGGCGTGGCGTGGGAGGGGCCGGCGTGGGAGGGATGCGCTCCGGGGAGGAGTCAGAGCTGCTCTCAGGGGAGGGTGGGGAGCTCATGTCGTCCAGCTGGAAGACAAGCTCGCTGAAGTCCTCGAAGAGGTGATCTGCCTCCACTGAGTCCCCATAGTCCAGGTCATCAGGTGCGCTCCCACTTGGCACCTCAGGCACAGGGGGCGCTTCAGTGGGGGCCTCGTCTACCTCCGCCGCAGGTACCTCAGGCAAGGCCACAGCCGGCACCTCGTCCTGTGGCAGGGCAGGTGGCCTGACAATGGAACCTCGGTCCATCCCAGGTACATCCTGTGCAGGGGTTGGGGATGCCTCCTTAGCAGGCTTCCTGTCTGGGGAGCGGGAGCGGGAGCGGGAGCGGGAACGGGGCTGCCTCTCTCGAGAACGGGGCCGCCGCTGCTCCCGGGCACGATGCTCTGTGCTGGACGACCGGACCCTCCATTTGCTCCTCTCCCTCGAGCGCCGCCGCCCCCGTGGCCGGAAGGCAGCCTCCTTTCGGTCAGCCCGCTCACGACTCCGCTCTCGCCGACGCCTGTGCCTCCGTGGGCGCTCTTCGCTGCTGCCTGGGGAGCCCTCGCGCCCGCGGGACCTGGACGCCGAGCGCCGTGCCCTCTTCTTCCGGGCCTCGTGATACTCGTGGGGAGAGCTGCCCGGGGTCGCCGAGCGGGACCTCCTCCGGGTGCGGCCCCAGGAGCCTCGCTTTCTCTCCCGGCCCTTGGCCTTCTTTCTCTTGGCCCTGTCGTGGCTGCTGGAGCCCTCCTCACTGGAGGAGCGCCGGGCCCTGGCCTTGGGCCGGGACTTCCTGGCAAGGGACTCGCCAGCGGATGGCGAGGCCGAGCGTGAGCTCCTCTCCAGGGAGCGGGATCCCGAACGGCTGCGAGACCGTGTCCTCTTGGGCTCCTTGGTGGTGGTCTTTTCCCTCCTGGCCTCCTTCTGGCCGCAGGAGCTGGTGTCCGAGCGGGCGGGGGACGGGGATGGCGAACGCAGCTCCACGACACGGAGAGTGGTGGACGGCGGCGTGTCCGGGCTGGGTGGGGCGTCTGGGCCCACAACCGTCACACAGGTGACAGTACGTGCCTCCCGGTCGAAGAAGGCGCTACGTCTGGGCACCTCCTCGTCCTCTGGGGACACCTCCAGCTCCAGGTCGGAGGCCGGCCCATCCCCTGCTCCGTCCCGGAGGCGGGAGGCTTCCGGCCCCGCCCTGAAGGCTGCCTGCACAGTGTAGGATGTGACGCAGCGCACCGTCTGGCAGGCAGGAGCCTTGGGGCTGTGGATGGAGATGGTCCGGGTGATCTCGGAGGGCAGCAGGCCAGAGCCCAGAGTGTCCGGGCTGCTGCTAGGGGAGCTGGAGTCAGAGCCTGTGGGGTCAAACGGGTCGTAGATCTCGCTCTTGAGCTGCTTGGGCTTTTTGAGGGAGAAGAGGGGTGAGGGATTCTCTTTCCTCTGCACCTTGTTGTCCACCGGCCGGAAGGTATTACAGAAACCTGGGCCAGGGAGCCGGCTGGAGTGGGCCGTGTTCCCTGGAATATTAATCCGAAAGCTCTCAAAGGTTGACCCCAGGCCCTTCCCCCTTGCCGTTCCGATAGGTGCCAGACTGCCGTGGGAACTGGGGGCTGTGGGTTGTGGCCTCGCCGGGGCTGTGGCCGGCTCCTGCGGAGCTTGGCTGCTGGGCTCACCCTCCGCCCGCGCCCCACGGCCTGGCTGTGCAGGCCCCTCCCTGCCCGTCAGCCGGCTGATACAGGAGCTGGGGATCTGCACATTCTGCCCACGGGCTGGTGCCATGTCCACGTGGCCACTGCCACCGCCACCCTCTCGTTTGATCTTTGGTATTCGGGGTAGCTCAGAGATCTCCCTTCTTCTGGGCGTGGGCTTCAGGGGATGCCCCAGCGCTAGACGTCTGGGTGCTGAGTCCGAGTCACCATTGGAGATTTTCGGGGACGTGGAACTCAGAGGTAATATTCGCTTTCTGTCTCCGTTAAACCGGGGCTGGCTGCCTCTGTGTGAGGAGCTACGTGTGCTGCTGGTCAAGCTCTGGACGGTCCTGGCCTGTGGGACCACAGAGGAGCCTAGCCGTATAGCAGGTCTCGGCACCTGTGCGGGCAGCCAGGAGGCCGGGCCTGGGCTCATCAGGGCTGGGGCAGGCCTGTTTCCAGTGAAGCCTCCTGTTCCGCTTCCGGAGGGTAGTGCTGCGGGCTGCTGGTCATCAGACCTGCAGTCCCCAGCCCCAGTGGACATGCTGAGGGGGTTCCGCTGAAAAGCGACAGGCGCTGAAATGAGACAGATGGCACTTGAGGGAGGTTGCTAACCTTTGCAGGGATCAGAAAGGGGTCAAGCTGAGGGGGCATTGCAGGTGGGTCCTGTCCCCCTTCCCCCTCTACAGCTGGAGATGCCCCTTAAGCCTCAATGTCTGCCAAAACCACAAAATACGGCTGCAGAGACACGCCGAGGGCACGCTGTGGCCAGTAAGCATGGTCTGTCTAGGAGTTAGAGGACACTATGAGCATCTCCCTGTAGCCTCTGGAACGCCATGGCGGGACGGCACTTCCCTGGGATCTCACCTGCCCTCTTGGCACTGAGGGAGCCGTCGCGGTGGATGACGACGTCGGCGCTGCTCATCAGCAGGAGGCTCTGGCTACACAGGATGCTGCCCAGCAGGTCAGGGACAGGGGCTGTCTCCACTGGGGGGTCTGGGGGGGCGGCGGCGGCGGCAGCAGCAACACCCCTCCTGCGCAGAGACAAGAGTGGGCCTGCCATCACAGCGCTCGAGAGCAGGAACGCCAGCCCCCAGGCTGAGCGGGGATGGAGGGCCGCAGGGCAGGTGAAGGGACCACCATATCCGATGGCCTAAGCCACTGCTGCCCACTCTGCAGCTTCCTTCTAGACTTCCTTGTGAGAAATCAGACACAAGGAAAGACATGGCTGAGGGGCAACCCTCGTACATGCTCAGGGCAGACACTTCCTCCTTCTTAGGAGAGCCCAGACAACTCCTGTCTGGTGGGGGCTCAGTGCTCCTAAGCGCCCAGACTTAGGACGGCTGCATCCACTTCCTCATTCCCAGGGCTGGGTGCGTGAGAACCAGGAAGACTGGGTCACCATAGACCTCTGTCAAAGCCAAGGGCGGACATTCCCGAGGAGCCCTGCCCCCCGACGTACCTGGAGAGCGTCATGGAGACAGGCCTGGCCACAGGCTGGTGTGACTGCAGTGCCGACCGCGACAGAACTCTCCTCTTGGCACTCAGAGGGGAAGCCGGGTTTGTAGCGAGCTCATCACTGCTGAAGGGGACAAGCCAAAGGGAGGAGTCACGCTTGAGCATCTAGATCACGGGGTGCTGCTCTGGCTCTTGGACACTGGCACCCAGAGCCCATGCTGCGCACATCAATGGAGCACCTGAGGCCACTCCAGGAAGAGCCAGGACACTCACCTGTCAAAGGGGTCCAGCTCGTGAGGGTCTCCAAACAGGGACAGAGGTGCAACTCCAATGTCTGCTCGCATCAGCTCCAATGAGGGGTCAGTGGGCTTGTACACAGATGGGAAGGAGGCGCCGAGAGCAGGCTTCCGGAGGCCCAGTGTCCTGGCGATGCGGACACGTGTGGTGACCTCGTGTCTGACCTGAACGACAGTGAGCAGGAACTTTAGCCATGAAAAGTCACCAAGTTCTGTGACGCCAGTTACGGTACTAACCAACGCCGGGCCAAGGACTTCCCACATCCTAGTCCCGAAGCTTTAGAGGTTTCCATGAACCCCTAGTCTAAGAGGCCCAAACCCTTATGACCCGCCAAAGAGTAGATTCAGCTGAAACAATCCATAAGCAGCATTTTATTTCCATAAACCCTCAGAATGCGGGAAGCGAGAAATGTGAGTTGGGACCGAGTGACAGTTGTCTTTTTAAAAGCCCCTGAGAACATGTTGATTCCCTGCCGTGCCTGTCCTCATTCCGTGCTGTGAGATGCTCCTGGAATGGGAGCAGTGAGGAGACCGGGCCCCGGCTCCACATACCTTCAGCCTTTTCCCTTTCCTTTTCTTCACGCGTCTCTTAGACCGTGTTCTCCCAGAGGATTTGGACGGGGCTTTCTTTCTTCCCAGCACTTTCTTCCGTCTTCCTAAAGAGGGCATGGAGAAGGGACGAGGGTCATGTGCTCACCCCTCCGGTAGACTTGGGGCCTCACTCCAGCACTGAGCTCTGAACACTCGGTTTTGTAGATTTCACATTTGGAACCACAAAATATTTTACAAAATTATGAAGCAAATTGTATTAAGAAAACCAACCCTAACCATCCAAAGTGTGACCCTAACTCTGTGTCTGAGTGGTGGGGTATCCAAGAGACTTTAGAGCAAACAGTTTCGATCCTTAAAAGTTAAAACATGAAACAGAACCACCAGAGGCTGTGTGGGCTGGCGCTGGCGGAGGCACCCCCGTGCCCCAGCCCTACGGATCCTCCGCTAGGACGGAAGAGCTCAGGCCGCCCGCTGCCACCCACTGCTGCGCGCCAATTCCTGACGACCACCTGAAGGTAGGAAGGGAGGGGCAGCCGCAGGCTTTCTCACCGCTCTGAGGAAACTGCAAGGAGAGAAACCTTTCAGCCAACCAACAGGACAACGGCGGGCCACTCTGACTGCACAGGAGGCCACTGAAGAGCGACATGCAGCCTGAAGGACCCCCACTTGGAATGTACCATGAACGACAGGCATGACCCGAAGCAGCAGGCCAGCATAGGAAGGAGTGTGTCTGGGTCACGACTCAAACCATTGTAAACCTTGATCAGAGCCCTAAGGAGCCTGCTAACAGTGTGCACTCAAAGCCCCCAGCCGCTCCGCAGGGGAAATCGGAGGCTGCCCAGTCCTGCATGGCCTTCCAGGGAAAACCAATCACAATGGCATTGCTTTGTATCACATCGATAATGCAATGAAACTGTCATCTCTGAAGGGGTATTTCACACAATATTAAGAAATCAATGCCCACTTTTTAGGTATAAATAACAAAGGTATTGTGGTATGTTTAAAAAACACACAAAACAGGGTCACTATGAGTCACAACAACCCAGGAGGCAGGAGGCAGGAGAAGTTAGCAGCTGGCTAAGTCAGGGAAGTGCAGCATGTCTATACAAAGTGTGAAAACAAAGCACCATAAAACACATGAGGCAAAACCGAGAGAGAGGAACTGTTCCAAGTTCACTTACAGAAACCATGTGATGTCTCTCCTTATGGGACAAAGGAGACGATCCTACATTGCTCTCTGATCAAACTTGTTACCCTTCTGAGTGAGTCACTGTCTGTGGAATAATGGATAGAGCCACGGAGCAACCCTAAGACACAAGCTAGGTAAAGCCATGTCATCCCGAATTCCAACCAGTACGACACTGGGATGTGTCTGCCCGCTTTCATGCTCCTTGGAGAAATGGCTGATTGCGTCAGAGGCATGTACACCAAAGAGCAAGAAAGCTACCCAAATGGTCCATTTTCAGGGGACAAACCACGTTACAAAGACGCAGCAGTTATGAGAACTGCCTGCAGATGCTCGCGCTACTCAGCAAGGTGACGCTAGATCGCTCTCATCCTTGGGAAAAGGCTCTGATCACCTGACCCCGAACTTCTATTCGTCTGCACTTCCCCAAGAGATTGGACACAGTTGCCCCCAAAAGACTTGCAGTATGGTTCACAGCTGTTTCATGCTCAACAGCCACACACTAAAAACGGCCTGAACACTCTACCCAAATGGGAACTTACTCAACACTGAAAAGAAATTCTCCACAGACACATGCAGCTGCAGAGTCCCCAACCCCACAGCAAACGCACCCACGCACCAGGCCCGACGTGCTTTTGCTGTGTGGCAGCTGAGAACACGCAGAGCTGATGGAGAATGGGGAGGTGCAGGTGATGGCGGTGCCTACCTGGCGGCACTCCGAGTGGGATGGGAGGCACATTGATCAAAGACATGCAGCTGTTCTGTCAGCACTTGAACTACACACTTGGCATGGCTTAGTCATGGTATAAAACCCGAAGGGTAAGTCAGAAAGTATTCTTACAAGCATAAGTCACCTTTCTGAAACAAAACCATCAAACTGGGAAGCTACTGTTTCCCTGCCCATTTCTCCCACCCAGGTCTATACGCTTCTGAAAGGGCTGTTTCCAATTCTCTAACCGTTCTCCCAAGAATGTGCACTCTTCAATTTACACCACGTCAAATGGCAGTTTGGGGGAGCAAAAAGCAGCGTCCAAGGGTAAGAATCAGGGCTGAGGGTGAGTGGGGTGGTAACCGCAGGGCGCCCTTGGGCCCGTGAAGAATGGGGCAGGCGAACCGTCCTAAGGAGCAGCAGCCCCCGGCCTCACCAATGCAGCTCTCAGTTTAAAGACGCACCCACAGAAGGCCCAGGATCATCCAGCATCTTTCCACAAACCGTAACCAGACTGTATTGTCATCGAGTTGGTTCCGAGTCATAGTGATCCTATATAGGGTTTCCAAAGAATGGCCGGTGGGTTTGGACCACCAACTTTATGGTTAGCAGTTCGGTGCTTATCCTAGAATGCCACTCCAGGACTCTAGAAGAATTGATACATCTGAGTTATGGTGTTTAGGAGGCATCAGTCCCTGGAGAAGGACATCATGCTTAGTAAAGTAGAGGGTCAGCAACAAAGCGGAAGACCCCCAACAAGACAGACTGGCATGGTGGCAGCAACAATGGCCTCAAGCCTAGCAACGATTGTGAGGCTTGGCACCGGACCAGGCTGTGTCTCGCTCTGCTGTGCGCAGGCTTATTAGTATGAGCCCTTGCGCAGACCTGACAACCCCTACCAACAAACTCACAGAAGTACAGGCCCAGTGGTTTTACTGGTGAGCTCTAGGAAACATTCAGAGGGGCGCTGATACCAAGTCTACCCAAACTGTAATATACAAAAGGATGCAAACTCCCCAATTTACTTTATGAAGCAAGCTCAAGCATAGCCCCGCTACCCAAACTAGGCAGAGGCATAACTAAGAAAGAAAATTACAGACCAACCACCTTTGTGACACAAAATCTGAAAATTCCTAACAAAATCCTAGCCAATAGAACGTAACAATGTATCAAAAGTAACACATCATGATGACACGGGAGAGACAGATACAGCTGCTGAGGACTCCAGACTCATGGAGGGAGAGGGGCTGTGTGCTGGCAGCCGCAGGCTTGCAGGGTGTGCCCTTTGGCCTTTTGAATGATTGTATTCCTGAGTGTTTTGGTGCACATCCAAAAAACAAACAAACAAACAAACAAAAAACCCAGAAGGAACAGAAGCAAATACTGCTGAATGATGAAGCACGTAGCGGACTGTAACCATTGCAGTGAAATGAATATGATGGGGTGAGTGTAAAACTGATGCTCCCCCATGTAAACTATCACTCAATTCACAATAAAACCTTAAAAAAACAAACAAACAAACAAACAAAAAACCCAGAGGGAACAGAAGCAAATACTGCTGAATGATGAAGCACGCAGCGGACTGTAACCATTGCAGTGAAATGAATATGATGGGGTGAGTGTAAAACTGATGCTCCCCCATGTACACTATCATTCAAGTCACAATAAAAACGTAATAAAAAAAAATACACCATGCAGAGATGGATCTTTATTAGAAAAGCATTCAATGTAATCAACCACATAAATAAAGGGGGGGAAATCACGTGATTGCATCGACTGATCTAGAAAAGGCATTTGACAAAATCCAACACTCATTTGTGACAAAAACACTCCACAAAATAGGAAAAGAAGGGGATTTCCTCAACAGAATCAAGGGCATTCATACAAACCCAACCATCACTTTAGTGAGAAATTACAGCCAATCCCTCCTGTGAACAGGAATCCGACAAGGATGCCTTTTATCAGCACTCCTATTCAATGGTGTGCTGGAAGTCTTAGCCAGAGCCATAAGCAAGAAAGGGAAATTAAGGGCATTAAAACTGGCAAAGAAAAAGTAAATCTCTGTCTGCAGATGATATGATCCTATACATAGAAAATCCCAGAAGACATAGCATGATAGTTATTGGAGCCCATTGACACATTTGACAAACTGACTAGATGCAAGATCAACATCCAAAAATCCATTGAATCCCTTTATACTAATAAAGAGAGCTCTGAAAAGGCACCGAGGAAAGCCATACCATTTACAATAGCCACCCAAGAGATAAGCTACTTGGGAATACATCTGACCAGAGAAACCAAAGACTAACACAAAACCACTCCAGAACACTACTACAAGAAACCAAGAAACCTGCAGAAATGGAGGAATAGACCATACCCTTGCTCGTGGACAGGAAGACAACACTGTGAAAATAGCAACACTACCCAAAGTAATCTAGAGATGTAATGCAATCCGAATCCAGATTTTAACATCATTCTTTGAAGCGATGGAATAACTAATCACTAACTTTCTATGAACAGGAACGAGACTCTGGGTAAGCCAAGCACTGCTGCTCCTTGGAAACCTTACACAGGGTCCCTATGGGTTGGAACCGACTTGACAGCTCTTAACAACAACAACTAGTAAGGAACAAAGAAGGAGGCCTCTCACTTCTCAATGTCAGAAGTCAGTAGTCCAAACAGCCCGGGCCTGGTACAACGAAGGACACATGATCAATGGAACAGAACTTAGAACCCAGAAGAAAATCCATCCTCCTACTACCAGATAATCTCTAACAAAGGGCCAAATACATTACATGGGGAGGAGACGGTCTCGTCAACAACTATTGCTGACAAAACTGGAAATTCACTTGCAGAAGAATGAAAACAAGACCCATGTCTCATAACATATATAAAAATGAACTCAATGTGGATTAAAGAGCTAAATGTAAAACCCTAGAATTGTAAAGATCATCAGTGAGAAATCAGTGAGCAACATAGGGGCTCTGATCCATGGCATAAATGCACTATCAAACATAAATGAAAACATAAACAGAAGACAAAATAGATGACTAGGGTCTCCTAAAAAGTAGACGATTATGTGCATCAAAGGATTTCATCAAAAGAGCAAAAAGAGAATCACCCAACAGGGAAACATAATTTGGCAATGGCATACCAGACAACGTCTCAACAAGAAGGCAAATTATCCAATTAAAACATGGACAGAGGTATGAAATAACACTTCACTAAAGAAAACATTCAGGCAGCCAACAAACATGTGAAGAAATGTCTGCGATCATTAGCCATTAGAGATGTAAATGAAAACAACTACGTATTAGCTGTCAGTCCTGACTCACACAGACCCTGTATCAGGTTTCCAAGAAGCAGGTGGTGGATTTGAACCACCAACCTTGTAGTTAGCAGTCCAGTGCTTATCCTAAGGGAAAGAGCCACACTTATTCCAGCATTAGTAGTAAAGTGCAAAACCACAGAAAACAACAAATGCTGTTGAAAGTGTAGAGAGACTGAGACCCTCCTACACTGCTGGTGGGGCTGTAAAATTGTACTTTCTCAAAACGCTGGAAATAGAAATACTGTATTACCCAGCAACACCTCTACTTGGCATAGATCCTCAAAAAGTAAGAGCCACACAGAATGTGTCCTTTGGTTGTTTAAATGATTATTTATTCCTGAGTGTTTTTGTGTACACACTGCTCCCCCTCCCCCCAAAAAACAACCCAGAGGGAACAGACACAAATACTGTTGAATGATGCTACACGGAAGAGATTGTAATCACTGCAATGAAATGGATGAATGTAAAATGTCCAACTGAGGTTCCCCGATGTAAACTATCACTCAATTCACAATAAAAACTTAAAAGGAAGGAAAGACAGACATCAGCAATGGTAATCATAACCATAGAGGTAATTATAAAATACATTACGATTATATAGCTTTATTCTTCTAAAACTAATTTATTAATGCAAGAAATATAAAATTGCATTTAGGACTTATTAACATTTAAAGACTAGAGAAAGAATGACACATTTCTCAAAGACAGAAGGTTCTATACAGTAATGATTATAACATTTCCCTGTTGGGTTGATAACCAAGACAAAATGTGTATAATCAAAAGTAGCATAAAGTAGAGGAGAGAAGAGAGCTGAAGGTCAGATCCATGATGAAGAGTAAACAAATGCATAGCCATGTTCCCAACGGCAAAAAGATGGGAGAGCGTCTGACTGTCCATCAACAAAAGAAAGATTAAATAAACCCTGGTACATACACATGATGGAAAACTATACAACGTTGAAGTACAATGGTCAATCTTCAAACGACTTCACAACATGCATGAACCTGGAGGACATTATGCTGAGAGAAATTAGTCAAATCATAAAAGGGCAAATATTGTAGGCGACCATTGGTGTAAAGAGTCAGTTTTCTTGAGATGGTTACCAGGGATGGGAGGGAAAGGAAAATTATTCATGTGCTAAAGTATAAACACGTTAGGATGGGTGATGGGGAAGGCAATACATAACAAGCTGAAACTGTAACTGTAACAAGAGAGAGGTTGGCAGAGGAAAGATGAAGACAGCTGGAGACCCAGTGAAGATGCACCAGTTAAAGAGAAGAGATCTAACTACCGCTAACTGATGGTACAAGGAGGGGATTGAAATCACTGTAACGAAACCAAGAATATCATTTGTTGAATGTAAAGCTGATCATCTGCTCTGTAAACCTACTCAATCCACAATAAAAAGGTTTTGTAAGAAAGGGTAATGTGTGAAAAATGTCAACGCAGAGTTGTACACTCAATAAAACCAACTTTCAAAATTGACAGTGAATATAAAAAGCTTTTCCAAACCCACAACACCTGAACCAATTCAGCAAGCTCATCAGGCTGAGGGGAAGTGGGGAGCAACAACACGGGGAAACCTGCCCAGAAATAAAGAGCATGGTAAGGCCATCCTCAGTCCTTGGGGTACAGCGGTAAAGCACGCAGCTGCTCACCAAAAGTCAGGGCTCTGTGGACGAGAGGTGAGGCAGCCGGCCTTGGAAACCGCTAGGGGGGCGTGTTCTACTCTGTCCCACGCGGCACTAAGAGTACAGATCAATGATGTGTGGGAGAGACCAGAGCTGACTGGAGAAAACTTCCTAAATGTTACTGTTGTCGATTCTGACCCACTGCGACCCTGTATAGTGTTTCCAAGGAGCAGCTGGTGAGCTTGAACCACCGACCTTGTAGTTCTAACGACTTTGCAGTCGACTCTGGAGTTCAGTTAATATTAATCTGTAGTAGGCTGTGCTAAGTTAAGAGAAAAATGAGTTTCTTTGAGGAGGTTGGGACAAACCTTTAGGTAGACCAAGCATACAAAAGGAGAGAAAAGACACTGGTTAGCAAAGTTAGGAATGGAAGAGGAGAAACCACTATTGTAAGAGAAAAGAAATATTATCAATGGCTCTGTGCCAATAAATGCAATGCTATATAATAGTTATTTTGAACTTACATGAAATAGACACATTCATAGTGTTAAAAAAAAAAAAATCACCGAAACAAGACATAAAAATGATGAGAAACTCTGAATAGAACCAAACACAGCACCAACAGAATCAGCTAGAATCACGAGTCACTGAATGTCTTCCCAGAGGCCTTCCCTGGTGAGCTAGCATTACCAAACATCGAGAGGAAAACCAGTCACCCTTCCCCAAAGCCTTCCATCACTCGTTCTGGGAGGCCTGCGTGAGTTCCCCTGGGTTACCATTTGTCAGGCAAGGTCACCACAAGAAAATGACAACCAAGATTCTTTTCAGGAATGTAACACCTGCAAGTCAACCAGTAGAAGATACCATGGTAACCAGAGAGAGGACAAAGATACAGAAAGAAAACTTGACAAAATGCCAACACAGTCGTAACAAAACCTCTCAACAAATGCTGGCCCCCAAAAAGAACAAAGTTGTAGTACTTACACACTTTTCAATTTAAAAACTGGAATTATTAAGTGTCTAACATAAAGACGGGGCTGGTCCAGGGTCCGTACATACCCACGGAACAGAAGGAGGACTTCCCTCATGACCCTTCCCCGTCATGGACAAACTGGCCAAGTCAGTGAGGGAAGGAGAGCCTTTTAGCAACTGAAGCAACAGCTGGATCTGCCACGAAGAAGACTCTCAGACCCTTAGCACGTAGCACAGATGACACAGGGCTGTTGGCCCTGGATCGTTATGACTGGGGCGGACCCAACAGCACCCAATAGCCACCGCTCCCAACCACATACAAAAGCAAGTCCACAGGATCCTAGACCCAAACGCTAGAGCTGAAACTAACATTTTTTAGAGGAAATCTTCCTTACTTGAAGCCAGGTAGATTTCGTAGATATGAAACCAAAAGATTGACCCATGCAAGAAAAAAAAAGAGAACGTGGACTTCCAAACGTGTTACCACTTCGAAAGATGCAAGAAAAAAGCGAAATGATAAGCTAGGCATTGAAGAGAGTGCTTCAAGTTATCCGTCTGATACAGGGCCACTTCCCGAACACGAACTCTTCCAATGCAGGAAGACAACCCAATTACAAACTAGGCCAGAGGATTTCACTATGTGTTTCCAAAGGAGCGGAATTCATGCAGAAACGAACTGCCAATGGCATAAGTCAGTCCTCGTCACTCAGGAAGGTTTTGGTGACCAGTCAGTGAGAGGAGGGCAGGTGAGGCCTATGCCTCTTACCTTCTTCCTGTCTTAACTCTTCAACAAAAGAGGGCGAAAATGTACTTGACGTAAATGGGCACGAGGCACACATTTAAGACTGCCAGGCAGCTGCATAAAGCAGAACACACACAACCAGGAAGAACTCGTAGTTTGGTAGAACTAAAACAGACTCACAGAGCACAGCACAGCACACATACCCAACACGCAAAGACCCACACGTGAACACTGTGCAGCTGCTTGTGGACCCAGAGGACTAGGGCGCACCGAGTAGTAGCTGTTAATAGTAAACATCCCTACCCACCTGACACACACGGGGGGAATGTGTCCTTTGGTTGTTTAAATGATTATTTATTCCTGAGTG